CAGCTCCATTTCCACACTGTCAACCCCATACCCTATAGGAACTGCCATGGAAACTTCTACATCCCAAACCTCTGAAGATTTTAAGCCATGACCTTTCTAGAAACATGAGATACAACATTAGGCTTTTTATGGGCTTTGTCTGTTACCAATCGCCATCCAACTTCCTTGATTAAGTCATAAAACCTTATCTCTATGGGAGAAAAATAAACCTGTTTTCATGAAAATCTCAGAATCTGCCTTCCTGAGACCAGAGGGACAGCCACAGGTAAGCACTAGGCAATAAAAACGAGGACAAGAACCATCTAGAGAGAAACTGCCTCCTGGCCTGGTGCTGCTCACTCCTGCCTTGGGGGGACATGGCCCTGACTTGGCACCGCTGGGCCCACCACTCACTAAAAGGCACAGGTGCCCCCCAACCGCTCCTCTGATATTGTCACACTGGAAACCTCAAAACTGGGTTCAGCAGGCCTCTCTGACACCTGCCTGGGCTTGGGAGTGGACAGGACATCGCCACCAAGCTAGTGCACTGGGATGGCTCACAGACAACAGCACTTCTGCCAAGAGCTGGACTGTGCTTCCTCACAAAACAGGGTGCTCAGGCTTGTGGTTCGGAGCACGGAGTACTGAGACAGGTAAGGGCTCCCTGGCCTAAGTCCATTACAGACAGCAGGACACAGTGCTGCCACAGCCAGGAGGGATGCTGCCCTGTTACAGCATTCACATTCTAAAAGAGTGAAAGAACACTTCTAAAACAAGTGATATGCAAATTACCCAAAGTATTTGCAGTCATGACCACAGTCTTAGGTCATGACCACAATCTTATTTACATCTGTTTTCACTTCACTGTTGAAAGTCATACATAGTGGGTGGGTCCCGGGAGCCAAGTTTTGCAGGTCTGCAGGCTTCCTTTTAAGGTCCACAATTGTGACACTAAACACAACTCCTTTGAGCCAAAGAATCATGAAGAACCTCTGAGAAAACAGGCAGTTTCCTATGCCTTCACCATTGCTGCCAGCCTTGATGAAGAGCTCAATGAGCGGCTCTTTGTCCTCCTCCTTGCAGGGCCGGCTCAGCTGCTAGGGATCCAGGGCTGCTCTGGCTGCGGACTCCTGGAGGGACGCTGTGCTTGCTGGACACACTCCCAGTGTTGAGCTTGGCTCCCTCAGCACCACCCCATGCCCCAAGAGCGGCTCACAGGCAGCCGCAGCCCCAGCCGCTTCCTTAATCCCTCCTGTTTTACAAGTATATGTTCTAAAGATTATCAGTAATCTCTGATTACTTTAGGCAGTGTCCACTGACTTGAGTACTTGTTATGGACACTAACCTGAAGCACAGGCTAAATTATGTAAAGCAATAGGTTCTCAAAGTTAGCTACACAAGACATATGGAGACCTTACAGTATCCTATTAGAAAAACTCATTGAGAAGAGAATAAAGATGGCGAAATAGGATAAGGACATGTTTAAACAGAGAAACATTAGCCAGTCTGAAGCAGAGAGGACACATTCCAGGAAATAGGAGAGAACAGAACAGCAGAGGGGCACCTGCACACTGACAGACACAACAAAGCAGCGGACACAATGATGTGGTGCTACAGTGACTGATACCCCAGCAGCATTCAGCGAGCAGTGATCTGAATTGCACCAGAGGCCAGAACCACACCAGCAACAAGGTGGGAAGGGACGTTCACCGGGAGCTAAGGAGGCAGTGCAGGAACAGGGTGGATTTCACAGCCCAGTCTGCCCCACAGAACCAAATCAGGCACCATGTTGTATAGAGAGACAAAGGTTATGGGACAGGACTGAGCATGCATTGAGCTGAAGAGTGAACTCATTTCTGGCTCTGTGAACTGCAACAACATGGCATCTTACAAGTTCCAGCCAAGATAGGTCCTGGCGGCCCTCAGACCTAATGGCCAGCGGGTCAAGAACTCTAGTAGTGGCACATCAGGTGCCATTTTGTATGGTGTGGAAAGGAATTTATGACTGCAGGGAAAACAATGAGCTACACATGTGCTGAGCTGGGAGCAAACTAATGGAGCTCAGTGCACTGGTTCCACAGGAAAATAATATTGACTTTGGCATTTTGCTGGTCAAATTAGGCCCGTGAGGCCCTCAGATCTAAAGGCCAATAGGTTCCAGGAAGACCACCACCAACAATAACCTAGCTATATAGAATTCCAGGTGTCTCCCTAATCTTGGGAACTGTTCCAACCGGAAGTGGGAGAAAGGTTGCACAGACATTGGTGCAGCCTCAGCTCGGTATCACAGCAGGTAGAGAGTGGTGAGCCAGGAGCTGGGGCTATGGAGACCATGGTGGAAATCTAACATAAGAACCCAGACCTGGAACTCACTGGAGGGAGTGGCACAAGTGACTACAAGCAAAAATTGTGTACCAACTGCAATAAGTAAAATTGAACTGTAGACCTGTGGGTGACACAGCTTAGAAACCTGACACAAGGAGAAAAATCTGCTAACTAGAAGTACAATGACCAAGAGCAAAAGAAGAGACAAAGGCACAGTGAATATTACTGAAATCTCCCCTGCAAAGGAGCAAAATCCTTTGCCAACCTCAGAGTTCACTGAGGAAGACATTGAGAAAATGGGGGACACAGAATTCAAAATGCTTTTTATAAAGTGCTTATCAACAACAAGAATCACACAAAGCAGCAGTTCAAGGAATTAAGAAATATGTCACAAAGGAAATGAATCAAAAGAAAGCTGATATATCAAAATTGGAGAATACAGTGGAGCAAATTTAAAGTTCAGTGGAGAGTCTCCAAAATAGAATCAAACAAGCAGAAGAAAGAATCTCAGAATTGGCAGATATTTCCTGTCATCAGGGGGAAACAAACAAAAAGCTGGAATCAGAGCTGGATCAGGCCAAAAAAAGTATTCAAGAATTGAAAGATACTATTAAAAGGCCAAATATAAGAGTTATGGGAACACCAGGAGAATCAGAAAGAGAAACTTGGATTAAAGGTGTATTCAATGAATTAAAAAGGGAAAATTTCCCTAATCTAGAGAATTGGGAAACATGATCCAGGAGGGTCACAGATCTCCCAACAGGGTTGACCCAAAGAGATCTTTACGATACATAATAGTCAAGTTCTCTTCAATCAAACATAAGGAAAAGATCCTTAAATGTGCACATGAAAAAAAAATCAATTGACATATAAAGGAATGCCAGTTAAATTCACAGGAGACCTCTAGAAGGAAACTACATGCCAGAAGAGAATGAACAACATATTCCAGATTCTAACAGCAAAAATTGTCGACTCAGGATAATGTGCCCAGCAAAGCTTTCCTTTGTCTTTGAAAATGAAATAAAATTCTCCCACAGTAAAGAAAAGTTCAAAGAATATGTCTCTTCCAAACCTACCCTACAAAGTATGCTTATAGATGTTCTCTTGACAGAGAAGAGAAATAATACTCACCAAAAAAGGGCAAATGGGAAGAACATCCAAGTAAAATAACAACAGAAGACCAAATCAATGAACAACCCATTGCTAAAATGACAGGACAAAATTACCATCCATTAACCCTAAAAAAAAAAAGTTATAAAATGATACTTGTGGGCAGAGGCTGGGACATACATCCACTGATTCTGGTTCCTCAAAGCAGACATCCTGATGCCTCAAGAGCCTGCAGAACATGAAACCACTGGGCCTTGTCAACACCAAAGGCCATTGGTCAGATCAAATGCAATGCTCAAAAGGGAATGGAGGGCTCAGGTTGACATACTCCAGTACATATTGAGGAGGCAGGGAGCAACACACCAACTCTCAACCCTATCCCATGTCTCACAGCTGATCCAGTAATACAGCAGAGCCAAGGCAGTAACCGTGGACCCCTGCCATGGAGTGTTACTGGCTACCACTCCACAGTCATGTCTCTAAAGATAGAAAGAGTTTGCTTCTTTGATTGCCCTAGATGACACCTAAACTCTAAAAAGGAAAACAGGAATTGTGAAACCTTGAATCCATCACCATAAATTAGACAGCTTCCCAGTACTTACAATCTTTTCTCTTAGAATCTGTGATATTACTGAAGGTGAGATTTAAAATTATTTCCAAATTATACATACATGTGGTCATACAATGCATTACAGAATGCTTTAAAAAAATCATGCATTAGCACAAAATCCAATCAGTGTGCAGGATGAACCTATGAGTTTTAACACACCAGAAAACAAAATATACAACAATAGAGCTTCAGCTTATACATTGCAAATAATCTTTAAAAGCTGGCACTTGTGTAATTTTAGTGTATGATCAAGGGTGAATATTCACAACTGTTTGGATACATTATTAAGATAGTCTCCCTACATATTTGCTCATGCTAGGTTTTTTTCCCCACATACTACAATTTAAAAAAAAATCAGGCGAACTGTAGAATACAAGCGAAAATTCAGTATTCTAACTAAACTAAAGGTGCAGAGGGTCAAAATGTAAAGACTCATTTTCCTCACTATCCTGTTTACTTTGAAAATTGTTATTTCTTGTAAAAACAGTATTCATTTAAAAGCCATGGGATATTTTTAATGAGTCAATTATATTTAAAATGGTTTCCACTTCTGAATTTGAACTATTGGTATATATATCCCAACTTCTGTTTCTGTTTGGAGTCATCACTAATTCTGAAGAGCATAAGCATCCTGAAACCAAAACATCTGAGAATCACTGACTTACTTAGTCACTGAGTCGGTCTCAGGAAGATGGTGCAGAAGGAGCCTCTGTGCCAGGTGCTAGTGCAAACCTGGGATAAAAGGCTCAGATTCCCAGGGTGGCTCTCAGTGACGCAGTCCCAGGGCAGATCTGGGCTGGGGAAGCCCAGCCTTGTGGAGTTCAATGCCAGTTTCCTGATTGGGAGTCAGGTCCTTTTGCCAAGACATTTGGGACACAACACTGCCAGCACTCCCATTGGACAAGCGGTTTCTGAAAGAGCCAATCAGCGCAGTCACTCCCAGTGGGGAGATCAGAGTCTTCCCCAGACTTTCAGGATGGGGTCCATGACGCCCCAAACCCTCCTCCTGCTGCTCGCGGGGGCCCTGACCTTGACTGAGACCCGGCAGCGTGAGTGCGGGTCGGGAGGGAGACAGGCTCTGCGGGGCAGGAGCGAGGGGAGCGCGGGGAGGGACACAGGACCCCGGGGAGCCGCTCACGCCCGCCCTTCACCCAGACCCCTTCCTGCCGCCCCTTTACCGTTTAGCGACCCCAAGGACCCTTCTTCTCTGCCCGCCCCAGCGAACTCACTTGCAGCATCCCGCTCCAGTCAGGTGTCGGCCCTGGTCTCAGCCCCTCTCTCCCCCAGGCTTCCACTCCCTGAGGTATTTCAGCACCGGCGTGTCCCTGCCCGGCCTCGGGGAGCCCCGCTTCATCATCGTGGGCTACGTGGACGACACGCAGTTCGCCCGCTTCGATGGCAACGCCGAGAACCCGAGGATTGAGCTTCTGCAGCCGTGGATGCAGCAGGTGGAGCAAGAGTTCTTGAATAGGCACTTACAGCTCGCTAAGGACCACTCAAAGCTTAACCGCCTGGACCTTAAGGACCTGCGCAGCTACTACAACCAGAGCGAGGCCGGTGAGTGACCCGACCCCTCCCCACGTGCGCCCAGGGCGCTCTTGGTCCGCGGGGCCAAGGTCCCCCACCCCGAGACTGCGCGCCCTGTAGAGACCATCGGCCATGAGAGTCCACGGGAAATGTCAGGGTTTCCTTTTTTGATTTCCGCTGAAAACCCCACGGATGGGTGAGGGCGGGGGCGGAGCTGGGTGGCCAGGGCTGACCACCAGCCTGGGACAGACTTTCACACGCTCCAGAAGATGTACGGCTGTGATACTGGGGCAAAAGGACACTTCCTCCGCGGGTACCTGCAGTGGGCCTACGACAGTGCCGACTACATCACCCTGAATGAGGACCTGCGCACCTGGACCACAGCCGACATGGCAGCTCAGATCAGCAAACGCAAGTGGGAGGAGACAGCTGTGGCTGAGCGCTATGGGGACTACATGGAAAACGACTGCGTGAAGTGGCTGCACAGATTGCTGCAGTTGGGAAACGAGACCCTAAATCGCACAGGTGTGCTAGGCTAAGACTGTGGTGGAGGGGAGGAAAGTGGGACCCAGGACTGAGTCACTCTCTTCTCACAGCCACAGCGGGGATGTCCTCCTGCAGTTTGGGTCTAGAGACAGAGACCCACCCTTCCCTCAGTGTGAAAAAGGGACCTGGATTGTGCAGGCATAGAATTCTAAAAAGAATCCTCTTGGTGCCCTGGACTCCTGCTGGGTCCTGTGAGCTGTGACCCCTCCCAGGCCTGTCCTCAGCCTCAGGCCAATGCACTGGGAGGATTCACTCCAGGGTTTCTCAGTCTCCCTGACTCCACTCAGGTCAATATGAAATCCCTTTTGCCCTGTCAGAGACCAGGGTCCTCCCAGCCTGAACCATACCTGATTCTACATCTTTGCAGACAGCAGATGATCCCATTGTCTTTATCCAGGCCAGGTCTGGCCTTGCACTGCTTCCCCACCCCTGTCCTCCTGTCCACTCCCAGGATGGACACTGAATGCAGCTTTGGTGTCACATGAAGAACATGAAAGGCATGAATTGTCCAAATCTTCCCTCAGACCCACCCAGAGCACACGTGACCCACCACCCAGTCTCTGACCAGAAGGCCACCCTGAGGTGCTGGGCCCTCGGCTTCTACCCCAAGGACATCACACTCACCTGGCGCCGAGATGGGGAAGACCTGACCCAGGATATGGAGTTGGTGGAGACCAGGCCTGCAGGGGATGGAACCTTCCAGAAGTGGGCAGCTGTGCTGGTGCCTGCTGGAGAGGAGCAGAGATACACATGCCACGTGGAGCATGAGGGGCTGCCTGAGCCCCTCACCGTGAGATGGGGTAAGGAGGGCAGTGAGGGGCAGAGCCTTCAGCAGAGACAGGGCTGAGACCTGGGGTCAGAGCCCCTTATTGTCCCTTCCCCTCTCAGAGCCTCCTCAGCCCACTGTGCCCATGTGGGGAGTCATCGCTGGCCTGTTCCTCCTGGCAGCTGTGCTCATTGGAGCTGTGGTCACTGTTGTGATGATGAAGAGGAAGCGTTCAGGTAGGGCAGGGTGAGGGCTGGGTCTTAGTCTCCTGTCTGCCAGGGCCCCCAGCGGGGCCCCAAGTGCTCACACTGGTTCTGGTGTGAAGCATAAGTGAAGGTACACCATGAACACTCCACAGGGAAGACACTACTCATGAGGATCTAAGACCCAGAAGCCCCGGTTCAGGGGGAGGTCCCAGCTGAGGACACACCTCCTGGGTCTGCAGTCACAGTTCTAGAATCTTCTCTAACATGACCCAGTCCTCTGGGCTCCCTCTAGGCATGTCCTCAGGCCCTGCCTTCTCCCTGCCTCTCACTAGTGGTTTTCTCTCACAGGTGGAGAAGGAGGGAGCTACACAAGGGCTGCAGGTAAGCACTGGGGTGTGTGGTGGTAGGGGAGTCTCCAAGGCTCTCGCCATAGTCAGATGTCCATGGAGAAGCTGCCCTGCCCACCCAGTAGCTCCTCCTGCAGCCACAACTCTGGGGCTCTCACCAAGTTCTGATTGGTTCTCCAGGTGGGGACAGTGCCCAGGGCTCTGACTCCTCTCGCTTAGCTTGAAAGGTAAGACCTGGAAGGCCTGGCGGGAGAAAGGGCAGTGTGAGGGGACACAGAGGGGCTGGGGGATTCCTTGCATTTGCACATTTTCATGTGTGCTTGGCTGTTCCTGACCCATGTGTAGTAACCTGAGTTTGTCACCTTTTTTCTGTAGTGTAAGACAATTGCCTTGTTTGGGACAGAGGGATAGAACCATGCTCAAGTCCTCATCCTGTGTCTTCCTGCACAGGCATCTGAGTGTGTTCCTGTGAGCACAGTGTGAGGTGGGAGCCTGGCCCTCCCAGCCCAGCATGGGCACCTCCATCCCTGTCTCAAGTCAGGTGCACATGCTGCAGCTTTTCCCTTCCCTGTGCAAATCTGAACAACATATCATTTTTCTCATTCTTGTCAGAGGCGTTAGTGAGAAAATTTAAAGAAAATTCCAAAAAGTGAACAGAGAAAATAAACAGAAGCACCATAAACCTTCCTGAAAACATGTGTTTGCTGTGTTCAGTCTGTTAAAGGAGGGGATAGGAGAGACTGTGGGGACAGGGTTGTCCCCAGGCAGTGCTCAGTCCATCAGGCTTTGTCATGGTCATTGCCAACTTGGTTCAGCTACCCCAGTGTCCTGATCTCTCTGATAAGATGTGCCCACCAACACCTGCCATCACAGGACTCAGATGTAGCCATCAGGTCCTATCTCATGGACCCAAACAGTGGTGGCTGCACGAGGCCAGGACAGTCAAAACTCAGGCTTGGGTTCAGCACTTGCTCCTGTCTTCCCATGTCCAATTGTTTCCTTAGTGTTGTTACTTGATTTCACCTGCTCTTCCTGTGTGTGAGCTCTGGTGGCCTTTACCTCTGTGTGTGCAGAGGTGTATGGGAGGCAGGAGGGCAGAGGACACTTGTGAGAAAGCACAGGCTGTATGGACACCAGTGGGACAGGATGTTGCTCTGCAGCAGCCACAGTTGGCCTCTGTCTCAACTCCACTAATGAACCACAGGGTCTGGAAAGGGCAGGTACAACATACTCAATACTCAGATTACATTTCTGCGGGCCAGACCCAGTGCAGGGCAAGGTGGTCCAGAGTGGTTGTGAGGGCTGAGGCAGCTGAGTCTCTCACCACCATGGCCAGTGTGCACTGCCCTGAGGAGGTGACCCTGAGGAAGGTTGGAAGGACACAATAACTCACCAGCAAAGGTGTCTGGGCAGGTGCTGTGCAGGCAGGGGAATGGGCAGTGCAAATGCCCTGGGCAGGAACTGGTCGAAACACAAAGCAGTAAGCTGTCTAGAAGGCTGGGTTGCAGCATCACCATCCAGCAGCAGACAACACACTAGAAGGCTCAGCCCTTGCTCTGAGTACGGTGGGAGCCCTGAGACAGCTCCGAGCAGAGGAAGGACGTGTGCACCTTCTCCTGTCCAGGGACCACCCTGGCTGCTGTGTGAGGATGGGGCTGAGAGACTGAGAGGCTGGAGACAAAGCTGTAGGGCTGCTGCCATGTCCAGGCAGGGATGCCAGTCACCTGCTGGGTATGAGCATGAGCTAATGGGAGATATGAGGTTCTAGATTTTTCTGCAGATGGATACACTGCACTTCCTGTAGACTGCATCAAGGGAATGATAACAAAGTGTTGTGGAGGACACACAGGGCTTCAGGCTATGCCAGTGGGGGTATGGTATCACTGTGAGAGGATGGATTCCAAAGGGGTTGCCCAGGCATTCAGTGCAGGAACAGCGGGAGCTGGGATGTCAGTGAGAAGTGACACTGTGGGGTTGGTAGTAACCATGAGTTGGGGATGAGGAAAAGGAATTCTCTGTACTGAAGACACCCCCGGGAGGTAGCTCCACATGGACCATGTCTGCAGTCAGAAATGGAGATGGGACACGCAGGAAGTGAGCGGCAGTGATGAGTGCATGCACAGCACCAAGCCCTGGACCGGCAAAGCTAAGTGGGGAACCAAGCCCATGGCTTGAGCAGTTGCAGTGCTGGGGTCACTGTGAGAACCAGGGACCACAAATGTGCTAGGGGATCCCTTGGGCACAGGGAGGGCTGAGACAGTCTAGAGTGGGCAGGGCATCTGTGTGTGGCTCACGTGGGTGCTGACAGTGCCACCCCAGGTCACATTCTGGCAGCAGGAGGGGAGACAGGACCCCCACCTGGACCTCAACCTCCCCTGAAGGATCATCACGTGAGCATACCTGGGCCCTGGGACCTACACGGTGAGGGGCCACTCTGGCAGAGGTCTGGGTACATGTGGCACAGCTTAGTGATTTTACTCAGGATATTCCGGCTTATGAGATGAGAAACACATGCACCCATTTCTGAGCCACACCTCCATCCTGACCTCTGACAGTCCTGGGGCTGCTGTGCTGGGCAGGACTCTTGACGCTCTGGGCAGGGCAGGGAGTCCCAAGTCCAAGTCACCTGTATAATCCCCAGGGAGAACCCACCCACACTGGGCACCTTCCTGTTTAGCAGGGGGAAGGGGCAATCATGACAGTCTCACCTTGTGATGTTTCAGCTCCTAGTGTTCACATCCAGACACAGCACAGCCAAGGTCAAAGGTGCATTGAGTTCTCTGAAAGCCTAGCAATCAACCCCACTGTCACCCACACTTGGGAAGCCCAAGGCCCTTGAGCAGATAGCACTACAAGATGTGGTAGGAGTCAAAAATTATTTTTATTTATTTGAAGGTTTTTTCATCTTTGTAGAAAGGAGAGTACTCGCTATCCCCTGGCTCATTCCCAAAATGCTGGGAGTGGGGCAAGCCAAAGCCCAGAACACAAACTCAGTCCAGGGGTCCTCGTGCATCATCTGCTGCATCCCAGAACGTGCACTGGGTGGATGCTTGGCAGAAAGTAGAGCCAGGACTCCAACTGAGCACTGAGATGGGATTGGGCATCCCAAGTTGCGTCTCCACCCCTGGGCCAAGTGCTCACACCTATGTCCATGGTTCTCAGTAAGGGTTAAATAAAGGGCAGAGCTGGTCACTGATGACACAGGACATTGGAGATACACAGTACCCTCTCTCCTGGTGAGGCAGAGCAGGAGGAAGGTTCAGGAAGAGAACACAGCTGAGAACACGAAACTTCCCAGGATCCTGCTGCCTCACATGGTGCCCCACACAGATTCTCACGCCTTGAAGCCCACAGTGAAATCCAGAAGTTGATAAGTTACCTTTCCCTTGGCTGTGTGACACTGTAGCTGACTGAAGGCAGAGGAAATGCAGAGAACCTGGTTGAGGCTGCACAGCCAGGAGCAGAATCCATGGCCTCACCCTGGCTGGTCCCAGCTGGGAACCACAGCCCTGCTGCTGGGCACAGAGGGCACAGCTCACACCCTTGACCCTGACCTTGGGCCTGCACTAGGACTGCTGTCTGTGCTGACAGCCTGGGCGTCTGCATTTAGCAGCTCTGTGGTGTGATGGAAATGCTTCTGTTTGCTCCAGAAGATACAAGGTTCACTTCCTGACTCTCCCTCAGAATTCTTCTTTCCATGGGTCAGTGAGGGGCTTTTCCTTCCCTCCAAGCAGGTCTCTGATTCTCTGACACCAACTAGCAGTCCTGCCCTGGCAGGGACACCTGCAGTGAGTGTCCAACCTGCACGCTATAGGCCCATCCCTGACATTGCCCTCACCTCCCAGGCCAGCTGCCCTCAACTCCCACCTTGGTTACCTGCTCTTCTGACTGCAGTGGCTACAACGTTGAGGTTTTGCACAGTGTTCCTCCCAGGTTGGATCATGTTCTGTAAAAACTCACAGACCCCAGGCAGAAATTGTACTTCCTGTTACTGTCTACACCAAGGTCACAGAGGGGCAGCCAGATGAGCACAAGGTCTACAAGGATCCTGGTGTCAGGGTCTCTGCGTCCCCGGGGAGTTGGGCTGCAGCCCCTCTCAGCAGCTTACTGAATGGCCAGTCCAGGGGCTCTTCCCAACCCTTCCTTAGAGGTGTCCATGGAGCTTTCCTTACAGAGTCTTTCTTGTCAAAGTTTATGTTCGTCTGTTTGGCAGATGAAGACTGACAGACCCATGAGAGGCTCCCTTCCACTGGCTCACTTCCCAGGAACAAGTGAGGGCAGTTTTGTCTCCCTCATGTGTCCTTAGGATGGCCTCATCCCCTGAAAACCAAAAGTAATAGGGGAACTATGAAAGAATTTACAACACTGAATAAACAAGAGAATAAGCATTTAAGACAAGAAATAAAAGTCTACAGACATTAATAGGGAAAGGTTGTTTTTATTTTAGAGCATTTGACAAATTCAGACAATCCCAGCTCTGATTCCCTCGGGCTTTTAGCTGCAGCAGATCAGACAGGAGCCCAGAATCCTTCCCAGGGGGATCTGATAGGAGACGCTCCTGCTCCCTCAGAAACTGGGGAACATGAACTTCACATCTCTGAGAGGCAGACACATGAGAACATGTGCTTCAGCCCCTGTGTGAACCAGGTCTTCCCATTCACAACAGCTATAACAAGTGAAATGCCTTGGGGTGAGTTTAGCCAAGGATGTGAAAGATCTCGACAGTGAAAGTCACACAACTTCAATGAAAGAACATGAGACACAAACAATGGGGAAAATCTTCCAAGATTCTGATTGAGAAGAATTAATATGATCCAAATGTCCATGGTGCCCCAAGCAATTTACAGGTTCAATGTGATCCCAATAAAAGTACCAAGGTCATTGTTCACAGAGCAACAAGAACAAACCAAATACCAGATTAATAGGCAGAAAGAGACCAGAATCAGAGCAGACATAAATGAAAGTGAAATGAAGGAAATATGAGAGGCAAACAAAAATATAGGTTGGTTTTACAAAAATAAAATAGACAAATATCTAGCCAGACGAACCATAAACAAAAACAAAAAAAAAAGTTTTGAGAAAAGCTCAGATAAGTAAGATAAGTAGAATCAGAAACTAAAATGGAGACATTACTGGTCCAGCACATTGGCTCAACTGGCTGATCCTCCACCAAGCATCTCATCCCACATGGACACTGGTTCATGCTCCTGCTACTCCACCTCCC